ATATATATATATATGTGTGTGTATGTATGTTTATTACTGACGTACAATGGATCCTACAGTCGCACGCAGGATGCAAAGAAAAACAGCGCCATGACAGAAGTGAAGCCGGCAGTGGAGCTCGATGAGCAGCCAGCACCGGCCGGAGGGTGGTTTTGTTGCGCAGCACCTTGAGAAAGCTCAGGACCAACCGAAGTCGCCTGAAGAGGGGGATATTTGTGCGGAAATGATCTTCGGACATTTGTGCGGACTCAATGAGCCTTAAAAGGCATCATGTGAAGTTGGTTAGCCAGTCCTGAGACAAACATGATGTAGACTGTAGACCGTAGTGCTGCGAGTTGATGAAACAGGGTTGCAAAGGCACTCTGCCTATTTTTGCAGCCAAAGGATGGGTCGTTTTATCCTCAATTGGTCGCAATTTTGCATCATTCTGCTGGCAGTGCTTCAAGAGCAGTTCGGCAGATTGACAGTCCCTCTGAGTGTTTGCGGCTCTTTTCGTGCCCTCAAGGAAGGCACGTTTTTCTGCTTGGGGATGACACGGCCTTGGCGAAAAGCGACAGCTTTGGAAGACCTCAGCCTCAGCTCTATTTTATACAACTATGAACAGACTATATTGTACAGATCTATAAACCACGTATTGCAACTTGATAGGTATGGCAGGGAGTCAGAATAGGCATCCTGTTTGCCATATGTTTGGGGTTGGAGTCAGGGTCAACCTTGGGCTTTCAGCTTTTGGCTTGGCAGCTGGGAGAGCTTCGGGCGATGGCCTTCCTCAAAGCGCAGAGGTCTTGGGGAGTTGGCAGGCTTGGATGAATTCTCTCCTTGAGCCTGTGGCTGAGCTTAGCTAATCTCACGGGCTTGTGGGGTGCGAGGTGACATAACGAAGCAGACAAACAGACGACCCGGCAGCACGCAGCCCGTATCCAACTGCCTAGCCTAGCCACTAAATAAGGGATCAGTTCGTGACTAGAGAGAGAAAGAGAGAACAAACAAAAACACACAAAGGTGATTGAGGAATTGAGCCAAGACTGTTTAGGCTCGCGCCTGTTGTACTCTATTATGGGAGCACTTAGTGGTGGCACGTGTGCTGCGAGTAAATTGTTCACAATTGTCAACTTCTGAGGATTGCTCCTGGCCATCGCCTGAAGAGCTGTCAAAGGTGCAAGAAATTCGGGAAAGATGTGCAGCAGCTCAGCGATATCTTCAGCCCGTTTGAGTCGAGGGTCCGGGTCCGGCTCTAGCTTCCAAAATAGACCAGTGGTTCACAACTGGACTCTCCGGAGCTGCTTGATGGAAGAAATCTTCGCGTTGATGCCCTTTGAAGCCTTCAGTGCCCAGATGAAATGACACTTGTGCCACCCTTTGCGTTCCGGCAAGCCACGCCTTGGGGGCCGTGTTCCGGTCATCCTTCCAGCTCAGGCGGAGCTCGCTGCACTGCCACAGTCGCCTCGAGACGTGGTGGGTGACATCCGCATCGCTCGCTTTTTGCGGTACTGTGGAGGGAAGGTTCCTGAGGCGGCAAGCGACGTTCCATGGGCATGATTGAAGGATGTAGCTCGATATAGCTCGAATCATTGACTCAGTTGCATTCATTTGGCGGAAGTGACTTGAGATTTCAATCAATTATCAGCAGAAACAAGATAGATAGATAGATAGAGATTCAATCCGACCAAGTGTCCATGCCTTTGTTGTTTGGGTGTTTGATGTTCGACCGCTTTAGTTCATGCTTGTTAAACACATCTCATAACCATTGCTGGTCTCGGGCGGCAGGCGGCCACGGGTTTCGCCGAGTTTCTGAAATGGCGAGTGCAGGAGAAGGTCGATGTGTTGCGACAGGCAGGAGTTGAAGATATATGTATGTATTTATTGTATGTATATTTATATGTATATATACCGCTCATTACACGTAGTATGTAAACAGCTAGCTTCAGATAGGAAAGTAGAAAAATACAGAAAGAGAGGGAGGGAGAGTGTGAGAGCGAGAGAGCGCATGCTGTTTCTCTCACATAGCAGATTCGCTGAAAATCAGCATTGCACTGTTTTGTACATTCCATGCTTAGCCGCGTAGCCCAGTTCACCAGATTCAGTGTCCTTTCGCATGTCGCTTACCACAGACTTGCCCAGGGCATTATAGACTTGAAACCGGACGAGTTTATCGCGTGGGTGGACTCGGTCCGTTCGCCCTTCGCACCGGTCTTTGTACCCTTCTTGGGACAAAGCAAGGACTGCCAACATGTTGCTGGATTGCATGATGCTATGAAGTAGCAGACTTTGGATGGTGCACTGCGTGATTTTTTCTGATATGATGCTATGATGCTTGATAATTGTGCGGGGTCAGAGTATGCATAAGGCTTGACATGACGATGTATTTTAATTACTGTAACGCAGTCAAAATTTTATAACCATCCTGGAGTAATTAGATAGAATATGAACCATTCTAAAAGCATGACCAGTTTCCTATTTGTCCTCGGATTTTCCATATTCTATTTTAGTTCAGGATGACTATACACATCAGGGCTCGCACGAACAGTAACACCATTCGGTTCAACAGGAAGGCCACATTGTTATTTTTGCAGCGCCTGGGTACTTCAAGGCTGGGTCGCTGAAATCAGCGGTGCTTCAAATTGTAGCAGGGCAAAGTGCAAGACATGATGCAACCACATGTTTTTGACAACAGTGTATCGTCAGGCAACGCAGTTCGTGAACAAGCGGCCTGCTTGTCACACGATGGAGAATGACCTTATGCTGGCCCGTGCAGGGGTGGACACTTGGCCACACTTGGCGTCCTTCTTCATGCGGGTTCATGCGCGTTCAGTGTGAGAACATGGTTTTTGAAGTTCCAGGCAACTACTGTTATTTGAAATGTGTGTTCATCCAAATTGCATTGTTTTTGTCCTTGCGTGGCTGTCGCAAGGAATACATGATGAAACTTGTGGATGACAATTCCTACGAGAGGCATCAGATGCTGTATTCGATCAAAGTGCGCCTCGATGGCAAACCCTTAAACAGTGAGAGTTGCGGTGCAAGGAAGGTCCCACGGCTTTTCTAGCGGCAAGTCAAACTTAATTGATGTGCGTTTAGCTTTTTCGGCTTTTGATAGTCTCTCCCCTCAGTGACTCAGTCAGCTATTTCAAGTTGCCATCAAAAGCCAGCTCCCCTGGTCTCCCTATAAAATCCAGGCTGGGCTAGTTGGCATGTGCTCGCCGGCTCAGGATTGATGCCGCCCACTTGGGTCGGGAAACTTTGCCCATTTTCGTTCCGGAGATCCGGAAGTTTGCACAGGAGAATGAAAAGCAGATGATGGACATGTACTGCAACCGAGCTTCAGAGTTGGGTCACGGCTGTTCTTAGCTTTGCTACTGCACTGTATTCCACATTCTATGTAGGGTAACGCATGGCATGTTTCTCATACACAACTGCTTCAAGCAGAGGCGATCAGGATATTTTGATTCTGGTGCTGAATGCTTCACTCATTGTCCGCGCCGTGCTGGCCTTTGCCACCACCTTCATGGCCAAGCGGCAGTCAAACCGCATCAAGGTCTTTGCGAGCGCTACTGGCAAGGAAGCCCAAAAGACGCTCCGGGCTGTCGGGCCTCTGAGCATGTTTCCCGAAAGTCTCGGAGGCGCTACTTTGGTTTGCTTGCCCGAATAAGGTGAAATTGGACCTCCAAAGTTAGGAAAGAAGCTCCGTGTTGACCCCGTTGATGCTGAGAGTGTTGGAGGCACACGGAAGGCCGAGGACATCCCGTTCTATTTCCCACTGGCCCAGGATGATGAGAAAAGGCGCCACGGTTCTAGAGAGATGCTTTCCATGTTTCATTTGTCTCGTGATGTTTAGCGCAGCTTGACTGAAAGTCTTTGGAATTTGCACTGGACAGGATCGAAGAGTGGATGTCTCGGACAACTTCTGGCATCACACGGCATGGAGCTACCAGCCCCCCCTGGCACCAGCCCAGCCTCTGATGGCGAGCTGACCTGGCAGATGCAGGGCAAGCGGACAGAGGCATCACCCAAGGATGTTGACGGACGTGCTGCGTGCATTGTTAGAGTAGTAGCTAGTGTAGTGTGCAAGTCCTTATGTGAGTGCCATAGACCATATTGTCCTGCGAGGCGAGCAAGGGTAGAATGACCATCATGTCAGCAGATGCGGGATGAAGCTACATAGTGTTTGACTGTGAAATACTGGAGACTGGGTGCTAGTTTCCTGTGCGGCAGGCCGAAGGCGAGAAAGAGATTCAGCTTGATGAGCCAGCGCCCAGCGGAGGATTGTTGTGCTGCAGCCACTGATTCCAACTGTCATATACACATATATACACATATTGGTGCGTTGAGGCAGGATCAAAAGGGGCTCCAAATGGGCCTCCAAATTATGAACTCAAGGGCGTGATGACTGGATAGACCGATCCCGAATTGCTATTGATATCGTCCTTAGTCCCTACATTGCGATATCAAGGACACTACTGTATACACACATGATTTCTTCCCTCAACTGCAAGCATGCGGCAAGAGAGCACCATCATCTGATCCTCGTCAGACGTTTTTGACACATTAGAGCTGGCCTTAAAGGTCGAGCCCTTGCGTGGACGACCTATATACTGTACATCAAATAGCACAGGCTCCTCGATGAGCGCAATGCTCCAGAGATGGACGGAGGCCAAATCTCAGAGTGACATCCATCGATATATGTGCTAGTCAGCAGGAGCCTGGTACAAGATCCTTTAAAAGGATCGTATTATTTTGGTAGATAGTCCCATTTTCGCGTCTGGATTTGCTGGACGTTTGTGAGCCTTCCAGTGCTGATCCGAACACGCCCGAGATCCCGAGTATGCAAAAGAAGGAATGGTTGTGTCTAGAGCATATTGAACTAAAGCACCGGGCAGGTTGATTCTTACATGATAGAGCTGTACTTGATCCTACAGCCATTGTCCACAAACCTATTGGCAAACAACGCTAGCCAGAGGTTGTTTGTTGTTGTCATGTGTTGCCGATCCTCACAGCTTAAGGTATGAATGCAGCAAACTTCACAACTTTCTCCACTGGCATCGGGTGCCCCGCCTGCAATAGCCTGCATTCTTGAAAATTCTTGATGTGCAATGTGATGTGTTAGGCATGGTTTCTCACATGCTTACGCAGGTCTCACGGCTTTGTGTTGTCGCAGAAGTACTTGCATGTGCTGGCCTCAGGCACATATTATGACTTATGATATGCCATGATGTACATGTATTATATATATATATCAACTATTAACACACTCCATGAATTACACATGTTGTCATTTTTACATTTGGAGAGTAGAGAGACATGCTGGAGGATGGCATGGTCCCCAAATGCTTCACTGCATGGTGACTTTTCGTGCAGAGGACTACCCCAGCGAGTTCTATCGGATGCAAGGTGCAGTGTTGCGGTATAACTATATAGGCACTGGCACTGACAACCTTTAAACTTTAAACCAAAAAGGCTCCAAAGTCACAAAGGCGACCGCACAAAGCTGCACCACGTATTTCTGAGTAAGGAGTGCAGAGCTGGCCTTGTGTTCTTTTGTGCTACAGAAGGTGTCCGGTTGGCACGGCAATCCTCTAGGGATGTTTTCCAAGTCAGCGACGCAGTGGAGTTTGGTTCAGAGTCAGGTCATTTTGCTAACTGCTGATTCTTTTGGTATGATAGGGCTTCCAACATTGGCAGTCTACATGCAATGCCGTTTGAGTGCTTTCGGCATTTTGACCACAGGTATGGGCTTGATGAAGCAGCTCCCCAAGAACACTGCAGTTGGAGGCTTATATAGATAAATCATCCAACTTGCTTAATGGTGCTTACTCATTGGTGGTGGGCAGTTTGTTAGTGGATCCTTCACAACACACACACACACACTGACAACAACGTTTTTAAGGACAAAGAGCTGGACAAGCCTGCGTATGTCTTCGACGTGCGCCTTCCGAGTGAACTGGTTCGTTGATGTTGGGCGACATCGATGTTGGGCGGGGAAACCCCGCCCCATGGCATCCCGTGGCTCCACCATGCTCCACCTGGCTTTGTCTCTGGAAATTCTATAAAATTCCTCAGGGTGGTCAGCCTTCAGGACACAATCTTCTTTTTCCAATTAAGACCTCTCTCCCTCTCTCCGGAAAGGCATGCGATTTCGGCACCTAAGGCATCCTATCCTAGTATAAGGATTCGTGGGCCCTAAGCCAGGTGAAGTACTCGATGTCAGCAAGTATCATTGCAGCAACTTGGTGCAGTGAGTCATGGCGGATGGTGTGGGTGGAGGGAAAATACAACCCAAGAGAGTCCCGCCAATGCCATATTCCCTTCCGGGTTCCAATACAATGCAAGGACAGAACGTATGTTGCGCTGTTTGTCTAGTTTTATTTATATAGTCATTTTGCTCTTGGTTTGTTGGATCAGACTGGTAAGCAACTACTTTGGGCTGATTAAGGTAAATGGTATACAGAAACTTAAGGTAAAAGGTAGAAACATACAGAGATGGTACAAAACGATCGAACATGGTGCTGAGTGCAAAAGGTTAGCTAAGCACATTCTAACCAAGAACTCATGGGTGCGCGCAGGAGACCATGAATCCACGTTTGGGCCAGCTCACCAGGAGCACTGTGGAGTGGATCAGAGAGAGTTTGTTTTTTTGTTTTTCTTTGTGTGTTTTTTTCTCTCTCTCTCTCTCTCTTTCTTTCTGTTTGTTTGTTTGTTTGTCTGTCTTGCTTTATTTCTGTCTCTCTCTCTCTCTCTCTCTTTGTGGGCTTGGCTCTCTCGCTTCCTTGTCACCTGCTGTTCTGGTGTCAAATGCGGACGAATTATGGGGGTTGCGAGTTCTCTTCCACACCGGGTCAGAGAGGCAAGCCAGAGAGAAAGACATCTCATTTGTGTAGGAACGATCCCGAGTACAAGTTCCGCATGTACCATGCAGCGCCGGCCCAGCCCTGTTTGAACTCTTTGTGTTGGTTCCCTTGCAAGGATTCTGAAGGTTGGCCGGTTACCTTTCGGGCTTGAGCAATGGCGTGATATGCATGTCCACGCAGCCATTGGCATCCGTGTTTGCCCGGCCTAAGTCAGCTTGGCACATCATGGCGAACCTGACGCTCTTGCGGATGCACGAGGTGCATAGTAGTCGAGAGATTGAAGCGCCGATCTGTGGCGACGTCACCTACAAACTCGGTGGGCAGTTTTGGCCCTCCCGGTGCTATGCAGAGCTTCGCGGGGACTGCATGTGTTGCTTTCGTTGGTTGGGAGATGCAGAAGATTTGTTCGAGAAATTGGAGCCCACGCGTTTTCAAACCAACTTGAAGCCAAGTTTGCTGAATGCTTTCAGTCTTCAGAATGTTCTCTTCCCAGGGTGTGTAGTATATATTGTTGTGAATAAGGCTTTGTGGCGCTTTCGTTGTAGGACCTGCTGCTGATCACCCGACGGCACAAGCAACAAGCGGCAATTCAGCTCTCAGGCGCAACGGTGGAGCTTCAAAGCCAGCTCAGCATCCGAATCGAGGAGCGGCCAGTCGTGGCGGAGTGAGAAGACTTCACAGGGGGAAAGACATCACAAGTAGAGAAACTCGTAGCTTCTTGTTACGTTCGTAGCGATTGCCTCCAACCTACTTGCGATGGCCTCCACCTAATAGCGTCTTGTTTAAGAACGGTTGAGTCAATACCACAACTGGCAAGAGAGTTGTCCGCTTCACATGCTTTTAAAAGTGCAACAACTCTAGCCTAGATTCTAGATTTAAGGGCTTACAGGGGCTCACCCATGGGCCGGGGAAAGGGGAAAGGAGGAATAGGCAAGCAGGGAGGGAAAGAGGGGCTTGTTTGGACGATGGTGGCGGCTGCGTGGATCGCTGGGGTGGGGGGTAGGTGTGGTAGCAGGTGGGGGTAATCGTGGGTGGTGGGGGATGGCTTCTCATTGTCGTCGTTGTTGTTGTTGTTGGTGGTGGTGGTGGTGGTGGCGGCATTTTTTGGTGCTGTTGATGTGGTTGGCGACAACCCGGCATGCATAACTCGCACCACAAACCCCTCTTAACTGCCGACCAAAAAAGTATAAATACATATATATATATATACACACACCTATCTCCTTTCATGATCCTTCGGGCTGGACTGTGCCCGAAGCCAGGCGCCGGGCAGCCCAGTACTGGTGATGCGCTTGGACAATGGTGGTGAAACGGTGCGATGGATGACGGCACTGCAAGATGCCACGCAGAAGGACCAAAGCTTCCGAGACTTGCTCAATGATGTTCCCTTGCTGAGTCTCCTGTCGGCAGGGCTTGTGGGAGGTTCGAGGTACCAGACACGCCATCCAATTCCACAGGCAATCCTTCCAAAGAATTTGTGCTGCAGGTCCCGGGAGCAGTCCCAGGAGCGAATCAACACCGCAAAGTCCCACCATGGAAGAGCTCGAGGCTCTTCGCGCACGGCTTTCGCAGCAAGAGTCAAGCAGCAAAGAGATGGAGGAAGGTACCTCCGGCCCTATTGAGAGCACGCTACACGATGTACAAAACTCCTTTCGGTGCAGGGAATACTGGTAAGAATTCCTTTGAAGTTTCGCAACTACTGGGGGACTATATAATGCATAATCTTATAACACAGTTAAATAACACCAGCTACTGAAGATTAGTTGGCTAATTTTGTTTGCTTTCAACCCCTTGTGTGACCGGAGTGACCGGTGGAGCGGAGAAACATCCTAGGCATGAAGGCAGCTTGCACGAGGGCAGATGCAGCTGCACAGGCCTTTCACGATTCCCAAGATCGTGCCAAGTGCTTGGAGAAAGCTTTGTTGGAGGAGCAAGCTAAGCGAAAGCAAGTGGAGCTGATGGTCGAGGAGCGGCCGAAAAACGGTATAATTTCACAGGACTCCAGGCCTCCTGTCCTCCCTTAGTTCTCGATAAATCCAAGAACGTGTAGGACAGAGTTTGCACAAGGTTGAAGTCAAGAGCACGTGGAGAATACTCCACTCAACATCTCAAATCTGTGATTCTTGAAGATCAAATGTAAAATAATGTAAAGATGTCGATCACTTATATATATATATACACATGTGGTCCTTTTTGTTTGAGAAGCACTGCTCCTTTGTTTGAGAAGGAACTACAGGGGCAGCTGGCAAGCGAGGTGTCCTGTGGCAAGGTGCCATGGTTCAAGAATGTTCTCAAGGGTTGAGTCACCTTGTTTGCAGGGTCCAGCCTTTTTGAGGCAAAGCGTAGTCAGGACACTAGGCTGGTTTTTTGGATTCTATTGTGCAATGCGACTTGCACATAGATTGGCCCTGGAGATATTCAAGCGGACGCATGGCAAGAGTGAATGACGGCACTTCCTGCTCTTTTCATAGCAAAAGGAACCTAATAGCAGTGGCTTCCAACCTAAGAGCAATGGCCTCCAACCTAAGAGCAATGGCCTCCAACCCAAGAGCAATGGCCTCCAACCTAAGAGCCAATGGCCTCCAACCTAAGAGTGATGGCCTCCAACCTAAGAGCGATTGCCTCCTACCAAAGAGCGACGGCCTCCAACCTAACCGCGATGGCTGCCAACCTAAGAGCAATGGCATCCAACCTAAGAGCGATGGCCTCCAACCTAACAGCGATGGCCTCCAACCTAACAGCGATGGCTTCCAACCTAAGAGTGATGGCATCCAACCCAAGAGTGATGGCCTCCAACCTAAGAGCGATGGCCTCCAACCTAATAGCGATGGCCTCCAACCAAATAGCGATGGCCTCCAACCTAGTAGCGATGGCCTCCAACCTAGTCGCGATGGCCTCCACCCTAATGGCGATGGCCTCCAACCTAGTGGCGATGGCCTCCAACCAAATAGCGATGGCCTCCAACCAAATAGCGATGGCCTCCAACCTACTAGCGATGGGCCTCTAACCTCCAACCTAAGAGCGATGGACTCCAAATTGTTGTTTGTATTGGTCCCCCCGAGGCACGCGAGCCGGATGTAAAGCAGATTGACCAGCTCCAACGGCGCTTGGCTTGCGCCGAGCAACGCCTGAGCGGGGCGGAACTGGTGCGCAAGGCGGCTGAGGAAAGGCCAGACCGGGCCAGAGCAGTACTTTCTTTTCGCTTCATGATTTGCCCTGCTGTTTTCATATCAGCGCCCCGCGTTGGACTGTCTATATAGAATACGAATTGACATTGTTTTCACTGGTTGCGAGGCGGGAAGGGGCAGAGCAGAGATTGGCAGAGACAGAAGAGCTGCTGGAGCAAGCCGTGAAGAAGCTTGCGGCATCTCGGTATATATGGGCGCTCAGCGTGTGTTATCTCGGGCGTGTACTCATTTTGTAGACAAGAAAGGCGACAGATTTCTTCAGAGAAGGATGCACCAAAAGTAAAGATGTGACTCATGCGACTGCAACATGCAGCAACCACAACAAACATCATGTCACATATATATATATATATATATATCACCACCATGTCTCTCCTTCGAACCAGGACAGGCCATGTGAAGCCCAGCTGTTTGGAGTGCAGCTTTGAGGTCTCTGGGCAGAGCTCCGATGACGAAGCAACCCGCCGGCTTCGAGGTGTGGAGGCAGAGCTGAAGGCCTTGAAGCTCATCAAGGCCCAAGCAGATGCAGATGGATCAGAGCTGAAGAAAGATCTGGAGGCCATGGAATGTTGTGCATATTCACAGCTATTTAAATTTTTGGGAGGGTGATATGTCCTAAGCGACATGGACAGAATGAAACAAGGAGGCTAGCTTTTTAGAACCTTCAAGATGTAGTCAGTATGTAAGATGGGCATGCTGCTATGCCATCACAGGTGACGTGAAAGACCACAAAAATAAACATCAGCACGTAAGTGCCACACCAAAAAGTTTTGAAGGACAATATGTGTTTAATATTAACTCAACCCTTTGCCAGAACAAGCCAGACTGACCGGCTAGCGTTCGCTTAATTCCCGGCTGCCCCAGAAACTGCGAGGATATGTACTTAAATCATAGAGAATTCCATGATATGTTTTAACGATATGCTAAATGTTCTCTCAGAAGTAAGAAGTAAGATATCTAGGAGAGTTCTGTGCAATCTTACTTCTTACTTTTTCTTCTCAAACAACTTTGACATGTGTTTAAAGTTTTCAGAAATTCCCTAAGTACAGGAAGCAAGACTCCCTACAAAAGAGTGCTGTGCACTCTTACATGTTACTGTACTTCTTACATTTGATAAAAAAAAATAACACATTCTAAAATAGTCTGGAATTCGCAAAGTACTGGACAGTTTACTTCCGTGATTCCGAGAACAGTGTGTATGCATATATGTTCATATATACATATATATATATATGAATGAAAACCTGGTACCCCCCCAGACTAACAAAGTCCAAGAATCTAATCTTTCCAAGATCGTAAGAAAACACCGCAAATATCAATAAAAGCTATGAACAACTAGGTTCACGGGGGGCACTATGTATATATATATATATATGTGTAATTGTGTGGGCCAGGTGGCTTTCAGACTGTCTTGATGCAGTTGACATGAAGTGTTTTCTGGTGAAATCGTTCCGAGCCTTCCAGGAGGCCAAGGCGAAGATCACCACTTTGCAACAGACAGCCAACCAAAGCGAAGCTGCCAAGGTGGCTTTGGAGGCACAGGTGGAAACACTGCAGACCCGCGTGGCAGACCAAGAGGCACGCCTGATGGATCAGGATGAGCTCCAGCGTGCGTTGGCAGAGCAACAGGAGGCAAAAGATACCCTGGAGAAGTTGGAACGGCTCTCCAAGCAGGAGTCGGAGGAGCGTTTGGGGTTCTGACCTTGAATGAACACAAGCAAACCAGTGATCGACCCAGCCTGTATGAGGGTTGCTGGAACATGTATATAAATGTACGTAATTGTATATCAGTGCAAGACAGAATTACTGTAAGTCAGCAATAGCCTTCGGCTGGACATTTTTTTTAAGTGGTTTGATTGCAAGACCGCGATACCCAAAGAG